GCACGACCCGATCCAAAGCTCCAGCGGCCGCCCTATCCCAGGCGGCCACCAGCTCCTCAGTCGAGCCGTGTGCCAGAGCCTCAGGAAATGGCCCAAGCTCTGTCTGGAACCTATCAGGATCCATCAGGCGCCTGGGGCGGTACCACCTCAGTGGTTCCGCCTCCCTGCGGCGGGGTGCGGCGGTTCGAAGGTCAAAGCGAAGGAGGGAGTGATCTGACCATGACCAGGGCTCGATCACTATATCCCCTATCTCAAGATCACTCAATCACTGACCAGAGACAAAAACCAGGTCTAGCGTGTTTCCCCCCGTGTGAGTAGGGCCATGAACTAACTGGGTCAGGTCCATGGCCATCATGGAAGCCATGAACTCCCGAGCCACCTCAGACGCCTCACCGATGGATGGCAGGTTAAAATCCCCCATGACCATAAGCCTGGGGGTGTCAACCGCCACCGCGGCTATAACGTTGAGCAGCTCGGGCAGGGCTGCCGTCACGTGGCAGGGAGCCAGGTACGTAACCAGCACACCCATCTGCACCCCATGACCCCACTTCACAAGGAGGGACTTACAACCAGCCGTCTGAGGAACAGTGACCTCCCTCGGACCAAGACCTTCTCTAATGACAACCGCCACCCCCCCGCCCCTCCCCTGTGTCCTCGGCTGATGGAATGCGCGGAAACCGGGTGGGCACATCTCAACGAGGGGAACCCCCCCCTCCTGGCCCAACCAGGTCTCTGTAATACCCGCCAGGTCCGCTCCCCCTCCTGAACAAGATCACAAATGAGGGGGGCTTTATTTACCATGGACCGGGCGTTGCACAGCATCAGCTGAAGGCCCAGGGCCTGAGGGTCTGTGCAACCTGGGGAACGAGAGGAGCATTGGAGGCCGGAGCGCGCCACCGCTTGGAGCCAGCGGGCGCGTGCTCCCACAACCTGATGTGGCCCCCTGCTCCCGCCATATCTGCCCCTCCCACCCACAGTACTGATGTAATGACCATCCATAACACAAGCTCTAACCCCCACCTTGACCCCGGTTCCCGCATCTCTAGTGCCGTGCTCTTCAGCCGGCTCTGGCCTCCTCCCCGACAGGTTCTCCCCCAAACCCACCGAACCCACCCCCCTCCCAGAAACCTTTAAAACCTTATCTAAAAATTTCCCTAAAAAATCCCACAACCCCCTCCTCGCCGCATGCCACCTCTCGGGATTCCAAAATCTGTCATCAAGGTAGGCCCTCGATAGTGAGGAGGGCCAAACCTGCGAGGGGGGGAGTCTCGCAGCGCAAGCAGGTCAGCAGCCGTAAACATCGCACAAAAACAGAGATGGAGAGTCAATTGGTCAGGGCTTCACCAGATCGTCCAATAATACTGGGTCAAAGTAGATCTTCATATCAGAGCTGGTTCACTGCCCTCTCATGACAGTGAAAGGGGCCAGTGACATCCCCCACGTCTGGAGGATAATTATCCCAGTCACCCTCTCACAGTGACTGGGGCAGATGACACCGACAATAAAGTCACAATAGTCCATCCTTTCATCTGGCGGATGACAAACAGCCCCCTCAGCACCTGCACACCATTTTGCCCAGTTCTCCTCCAGTTTGGGGTCGCACAAGAAGCCAGCAATTTGTAAAGTTATTAGAAACAATGTTGATAATCCCACAGGCACAAGTTCTTCTCTGGGGCGAAAGTAGGGATAGCAGACAAAAAAACCCAGTCCAAGTCCAGGGTGGGTGGCCATCAAAGGCCAACACCCACACATACCTGAGGGAAGAGGGGGGGAGAGAAAGCCACCCGAGGCGACCAATAGAGCCCTGGTCAGCCTCCCACCTCTCCTGTCCCAAAACTCCCCAAATCCCCAGTCTCAGCTCTGATGACAAACAAACCCCGGATAACAGGGGTCAAGGCTCAAAAAAGAGCAGATGGTAATCCTGAGGGCAAGGCAAGGCTGTCCGTATTCCCCCATCCACCTGCTACAAGTTCTTTCCACAGCTGGATGATCCGTGGCTGCCATTGCCTTCCGCCGGCGCCGGCGCCGCCGCCACCACCGCCACGGCCGGCTCGTAACCGGCACCCTGGGCTCCCCATGGCGCCTCCAGGACCCCCGAAAAACGTCCGGAGAACGTCCCAGAGATCCGTGAGGGGCGAGGGGATGAAGGGCACCTCCAAGCCGCCGCCGCCGCATATAGTAACGCCGCCCGCCGCCGAAACGCTCCGGCTTCCACTCCTCCCGGCACTGACAAGCCGGAAACAGCTGTTTTTAGCAGGCCGCCGCCCCATCTCCCGCGGCGGCTTCAAACAGCGCGTCCCGCCCTGCCCTGATATTCCGGAGGGCGAAAAAGCCCTCAGCAGGCAGGGTGGGCATTCCCCTCATTGGGACTGGAGCCGGAGATTGTTAAAGCGGCTCCCGAAGACCCCTGACACCAGCAACCTCTCCATCTCCTCGTGGAGCTCAGCCGACCGCCGCCATCTTGGGACAAGCCGGAAGTGGTGTTGGAAACCCAAGCTCTAGAAAAATCTGATCACAAACCCAAACTCTGGCTCAGATATGTAGACGACACCTTCATAATCTGGCCACATGGGAAAGAAAAACTGGACAACTTCCTCACACACCTCAACAGCCTACACCCCAAAATACAGTTCACCATGGAAACAGAAGCGAACAACCAACTTCCCTCCCTGGATGTCTTAGTCTACAGAAAATCCAATGGCTCCCTAGGACACACTATCTACCAGAAGAAAACACACACAAACCGCTATCTGCACGCACTCTCACACCACCACCCTGCCCAGATCAACTCTGTAGCCAAGACACTCATTTCCAGAACAAAACGCTTGGCTGACAAACAACACCTAAAAACCGAACTACACACTCTCACTAACGTACTAACATCCAATGGATTCCAAAGAAATAAGATCACCAACCTAATCCAAAAAGAAACCCCCACTAAAATCCAAGACAGAGAACAAGAAAACAGCAAAGCCCTCCTCCCATACATAAAAGGCACCACAGACAGAATAAGCAAAATCCTCCACAAACATAACATCAAGACAGCATTCTGCACAAACCGAAAAATATCCACCATCCTAAGGAACCCCAAAGACAAAATTGAGTTAGAAAATCAAGGAGTATATGAAATCCCATGCACCGCCTGCCCCACCACATACATCGGACAAACCAACAGACGAATAAGTGCACGCATAGAAGAACACAAGAACTCAGTCAGAAAAGAGGAACCAACTTCTTCCCTGGTCCAACACCTTAAAGCCACAGGACACGATATTGACTTTAAAAAGACCAGAACTATCGCCAAAACTGAACACTTTAACAACAGAATAATCAGAGAAGCCATCGAGATAGAAAAACGCCCACACAGCATGAACAAACGAGATGATACCTCCCGCCCTACCAGCCATTTGGAAACCCGCCCTTACTGACAAACGAGTCCCTAACATGACGAATGACACCAGACCCACACTCACGAGAGCCACACAGGATGTCACCACCACACCATCCACGCAGAAAGCAGACTCAAACCCACACTGATAATGAGCCACGACCAAGGACCAGAAGCCAGACCGCAGCTGCATCATTAGCCACTTTAAACCCCTCCAATCCATACATGAAGCAGACTGACACCCACCATGAAGAGCTCGCACGGCCACAAACACGAAGCCAAACAACAACAACGCAGCTCACCAGCTCAAATCCCCCTGCAACTCAGACTAAGCTGAGCACAACCAAGCCCCCACCCAAACAGAACACACCCCCAGCCAATCAGAGCACAACCAACCCCCCATCCAATCAGAGCACAGCCAAGCCCCTAACCAATCAGAACACACCTCCACCCAATCAGAACACAGCCAAGTTCCCACCCAATCAGCTCACACCCCCACTAGCAGTTAAAAGGAAGAGACAGCTGCGATCTCACATTGCTCCTGGAAGCACGAAGCCGAGAACACCAGCCTGAAGATGACGAATGAGACTTCGTGAAACGTCGCCAAGACACTTCCAATTTTACGTGGGAGAAGACCCGAATAACCAAAGACCTACATACAAACACCCGCGAAAACCTGAGAAAACATATATATATATATATATATATATATATATATATATATATATATATATATATATATATATATATATATATATATATATATATATATATATATATATATATATATATATATATATTTTAGTAGAGTGAGCAGTGGATTAAAGATATTAAGAATTGTTGTGCATGGCAATTTTGTAGGAAAGTGGGTGGAAATAGGTTAGTTTACTGATTGATTAGTTTAAGAAAAGGGATGTTTAAGTGATATATCTAGGGGAGTGGAGGAATGGATAGAGTTGAATAAATGTTAAATTAGGATTTATGGGGAAGGCTGCTTTGAAATGTTATATTAATATACACAAAAGATTAAATGTCAAAGTAGGATTTATTATATAGTTTTAAAGTGGAAGGTTGTTTTGAAATGTTGTAATAATATACAGATATAAGTTTGGGGGAGGAGAAAAAGGGCAGATTATTGCTAAATTGGGAGTTATAATAATATTAGGCTAAATTAGAAGTTATCATACAATGTTATAGTAGAATGTTTTTTTTGAAATGTATGGCAAAAGGGGGAATTAACAATATTAATATTATTAGCAAGCAAGGGTCAGTATTTAGAGGAGGGAGTAAGGGGATGGTAAAATATTATATAATCTGTTATGAATTAGGTTTTTGTTGTGAAGAAGTCACAGGGGGGGATGGGTGGTGAGGGGGGGTTAGGGAGGAGGGGGGAGAAAAATGGGGGGGGAATTTGTATTTGAAAACTTTTTCAATAAATGTGCTGCTTCTTACAATGGGAAGTACTGATTTATTTTGGAAATAATAAGGGAAACTGAGTGAGAATTCCGTGCCATGTAATTATGATGAGGCATCTGTTATAAGGAGTGTAGAGAGGATTCATCATTATCTGCAGAATATACAGAAGGAAGAACTTAAGGTGTAACAAAATTTTATTTACTTTGCTTTCCAGTTGCTGAAAGATTAAGCCCACCCACTGATGATGTATGTTATGATACCTTCACTGGTTCTTTCTATTCCATTGGGGATGAGTGGGAAAGGATGTCTGAAACTGGATTCAAATTGTGGTGCCAATGCTTAGGTCTTGGTAGTGGACATTTCAGATGTGATTCCTCAAGTGAGTACCTTCTTGTACATCTCTTTTTCTAATAGTCAAGACATACTGAACTCTTAAGTATTAATTTAAATACTCTTTCTACACCATGCCCATATTTTAACATTCATAAGTTCCCCTTTTTTGTATTCTACCTTGTTATCTAAGTCAAAATTACTTTGTTAAAAATTTGTATTCCCGTATTTTGTCGTATTAGTGACTCTTTAATAGTGACAATTGACAATAATTATTTTGAAAGCATGGTTCTTGGTTGGCATGTAGCAGTTAATCAGAAATATGGTAAATAAAGCTCTGATTATTCATGAATAATCATGAATTCAGGAACAGAGAATGTACAAACATGGTGCAGCTTGCATGCTGAGAGTCAGGATTATGTCTTTTTAAAGGTATAGAGTTGGGGTTTTTGAACTTCAGGCGCTTTCGGTGCAAGATCTGCGACCTCTGAAGGTCCGTTCTGAGCTCTCCCTGTCGGGGGCTTCACTGGAAGCCTTAGCCACCTTGGAGGAGTGGTGAAGCAAAGGGGGACCACCTTGCAGGTCGAGGGGAGCCGCCTCTCTCCTCCCTGACTCGGAAAACTCCCTCATCCAAAGACTAGGAGCAGTGGCAATCAAAATGGCTGCCATGAAGCCAGGGAACAGCCAGAACCATAGGTTTGTGCAGGAGTAGAGAAATGCTGAATGGTGTGTTGTCTGGGTAAGAAAAGATTTACAGCTGTAGTAATTTGCTACAGCGGCATGCAACTATTGTGCGGGGGAAAAACACATTGGAAATTTAAAGAAGTAACTCTCTGTTTAAAAAGAAAATTAAGTGGGAAATGGAATCCCTAAAATAAAAAGGCATGATATTAAGAAGGCATTTTAAGATGCTGGAACTATAAACCTACCTTTTCTTCAAGAGCCGAGGTGGCGCAGTGGTTAGAGTGCAGTACTTCAGCTACTTCAGCTGACTGCTAGTTCAGCAGATCAGAGTATCAAATCTCACCGGCTCAAGGTTGACTCAGCCTTCCATCCTTCCGAGGTGGGTAAAATGAGGACCCAGATTGTTGGGGGCAATATGCTATTTAGTATACTGTCTTTGGTGAAGCCGCCCAGAGTCCTCGGAGAGTGGGCAGCATAGAAATATGACAAACAAACAAACAAACAAACAAACAAACAAAAAAAAATAAATAAATAAATAAATAACAGAGCTATAAAATAAACTAAGCAAGAGAAATAAACTGGGTGTGTCAAAATAAAAGTAGAACAGCACAATAAAAGCAGAGAGCAGAGTGAAGTAAAGAGCGCCATCTGCTGATGATAGTAAATTTTTGTGACTCGGGAGCAAATATTGAAATGGAGGGAAATAACTGTTGAACGATATATATTTATTTTCTAACCACTGGAGACTGGAATATTAAAAAAAAAAGAATTGGTGTCTGGACCCCTAAATACTATTGAATATACAAAAACGACTTGAGGAGTGGAGGATCCCTGAAGTAATTAACTGATTTGATTGGACATTGATGAGACATTTAAACTTGATTAGGAGGTCTGATTTCTGAACGGATGATTGAGGAGACCTAAACGAAATGGAGTTAAATAACTCAAGATAGCAAAGACATTAAGGACCTTATCCTGGAACTTCACAAAGACATGGTGGAAATATTGGATCATATAGATAGAAGACTGGAAAATTGTATACAAGAGATGAAGAGCAAAGATCAGGACAAGAAGGAAAAAATGGAATTATCAACTGGAATAGAAGGAGAATTAGAACTGAGAAACCAGCAAACAGAAGTTAACAAGGAGGAGACACTATTAAAATTAATAAGAATTGAGGAATTAAAACAGGGGGAAAACATTTTAAAAGATTTAAAAAAGAAATGGGAGCAAGAAGAGGCTTGTGGGGAAATGATAGAATTTAGAACAGAAAGCTCTCAAACAGTGGGGTAAGACAGGGCAAGGAGAAAAAATTAAATTATGGATTCAGAATATAAACCTCGAAGTAGATGGAATGAAAGACTTAAGAGGAAAACAGGGAGACAAGTTAAAAAAAATGTAGGATTAAAGGAAGGGATGTGGATAAGAGATAATGGTTAAGGGGAGAAAAAGAGTTAAAGATGATTATATCTTTATGATATTATGGTAATAATAATAATAGTAATAATACCATGATTATATGGTAATAATTGTATTAATATTAGAATGATATGGTTGAATGATGGTATTATAAAAAGTGTATAAAATAGGACTATTGTGTAGGTAAAGTGAAAGTAGATATATTTATGTGTATTAAATTTTAAAATATATAGAAAGGGAGAGTTAGAGAATGGGAATATGAATGATAAAACAGATATCATGTCTTTGAATATAATAATATGGAGGGGAAAAAAAAGAAAAATATTAGTGGAAGTTTAGAATGGAAGGGTGTAAAGCAATGTATCACAAAGTCAAATAAGTTAGGAAAAGAAATATGAAAACTAGACACACAGATTGAAAATAGTGAAAGGAGAGGGATGTTGTAAAAATGGGTGAAATATGGTGTATAGGAGAAAAAACAGACAGACAATTTCGTATTTTTTTTCTTGAGGGTTATACTATTGAAAAGATAATACGGATGCTAAAGCACATCGGTTTAGATGTTATTGCATACTAGCTAATATTTATATGAAAATTAAAATTTTGTAAAAGGTAGGAATAAATAATATGAAATAAGGAAAATGGAATGTAATAATTAGGAATATGTTTATAAGTATTGAAATGTATGATACTCAAACATCGCGCCATTCACACAGTGATATGTTTAAATTTAAAATAATAATAAAAAAAACTTGATTAAAAAAAAAGGTATAGAGCTTGGGGTAAGGAGAATGACTCAAGGTTCTAGTCCTTCACTGGGTGAATTTTCAGCCAGTTATTGTCCTATCACTCAATATACCATTCATGTCTGTCACATGCAATTCCACCAACATTATAATTTTATCAGAACTCTCAGATTATGTTGCTGCTCTTGAGAGTACTATGGTCCTAGCCAGAAAATTACCTCTGCCTAATTATGATTTAGTCTCAACATAGGGCCCTCCTCCAATGTAATCCATCACTATATCCAGACAATCACAAAATGCACAACTAGCAGAATGATGAATAGATTATTGATTGAATAACTTGAAACTTTAATTGATTGATTCATCCATACTATGGATTATAGCTGAGCAGTTATTCCCCTACAGCTTTTTTGGAGTCAAAAAGCTTGCTAAAACAACAACAATAATCTTGAATTATGTAGTACATATGATGCATTTTATGTTCCAATAGTAAATAAGGTATTGAGATGAAATTTTAGGAAGAAATTTTGGCTGACCCTGGGATGTGGATATGTAAATTGCTACACATTTGAGTAGAGGTCATAGTGGGAATCTTATCCACATTGAATCATTAAGCTCACTGGAAGGAGCTGCTCTGGGGGTTAAACTGTGATTTTCTAGGCATTGTGCATCCAAAGACACTGATCATTGAATCAAGGTCCTTCAACACAACTACTAAGTTACCTTGACCATAGAGCAAGAATTCAGATTTGGAAAGGTAGGAAATGTCTGAAATGTTGATAATAAATAGCAATAGACATATCCTGCCTCATAGTACTTTACAATGCTCACTAAGTCTAAGTGGTTTACAGAGTCAGCATATTGCGCCCAACAGTCTGAGTCCCCTTTTACCAACCTCGTAAAAATGGAAGGCTGAGTCAACCTTGAGCCGGTGAGGCTTTCTTAAGATGCCAACTATGAATAAGTTGCTATTTCATTTCAATGGCCCTGGAGCAGAGCTCTTACTTTCTCAACTAAGATGTTGCTCTGTGTAGTTTCCTATCACCAATACATCCGTTTCGGGGGACAGGCAGTACAATAATCAACTTGTATTAAAAGCTACTGCAATTGCAGATCATTCAACTTCCAACTATTATTTTGTTTGCATTCAGAGTGGTGTCATGACAATGGGATGAACTATAAGATCGGTGAGAAGTGGGATAGGCATGGAGAGAATGGCCAGGTGATGAGCTGCACTTGCCTTGGAAATGGAAAAGGAGAATTCAAGTGTGACCCTCGTATGTATTTTTCATGAATAGTGTCTCTAACTTATGTTGTACAGGTAATCCCTGAATTACGAGTGTTCCCTTAGCGAACGTTTGAAGTTACGTGATAAACGCGCCCTAGCGTTTGCGAACAAGTCCCGAAATTACAAATGTTGCAGCACCACAGCAGTTGTTCGCCCTTACAAATGATGCTGAGGCTTTGTAACATTTGCCCTGCCTATTCCACCCCACCCCACCCCGACCGGGTCTGTCACAGGTTTTTTTGCTTGCTTCAGGGTTTCAGTGCATTCATAGAGAACAGAGGCCTAAACATACCATGAGATCATGCAAGATCTCATGCTACTGATCTCACGTGATCTTGGACTTTAGGCCTCTATTCCCTGTGAATTGAGGCCTGGGCATTTGCAAACAGAGGTCCTTCAGGCCTTCCCTCCATTTGCCATTTCCTTGCCGAAGGCTGCCGGGAGATTGCATCCATGTAGGCTTCAGCAGCCCTTTGCAAAAAGCCTTTGTCAACACCAGAAGAGCTTGGGACAAGCAGGCGTGTCCCTCCAAAGCTCTGTTCCTACTGCTGAAGCCTACAGGGACGCAATCCTCAAGTGGTTTGGTGGTGAGAAAGAAGGTCCGGAAGGGCATGCATTGCCCTCTGCACCTCCTTTCTTGTCATCAAAGCCTTCATCAAGCACTTTAGTGGGGAGAAAGGAGGCCTGGAAGGGTGCATGTGGCCCTCTGCGCCTTGTTTTGTCGCCAAAGGCTTCATCAAGTGCTTTGCCGACAAGTAAGGAGGGAGCAGGCAAAGAAACAGGCTGGAGAGACAGATCTTCATAAGGTAAGTGACCCGGCATGGCGCCCACCCTCTGGAACAACCTCCCCCCAGAGATACGTACAATAACAGACCTCCGGATTTTTCGTCGGGCCCTGAAAACCCATTTATTTCAACTAGCGGGGCTGGCTTGAGTTAATTTTAAATTGATTTTAAATTGGGTTATTTTAATTTACGGCCAATAATATTTAATTATTTTAAATTGTTTTTAAATTTTGTATGTATTGTTTTTTATTCTGGCTGTTCACCGCCCTGAGTCCTATTCTGGAGAAGGGCGGTATAGAAATTTAAATAATAAATAATAAATTTAAATAATAAAATGTGGGGAGAGCAATTGTAGGGACCCCAGGGGAGGGAGAATGAAGTATCTCAGTGGGTTGGAGGAGGCCTTGGGTAGTCTGAAGCAGGTGGCCTATTTTATCACTAAGCCCCCCATGGCCTTCCCCACCCCGAGATACCTCATGTGCATTTAACGAGCCTTGCTAATGCGTGGGTGAAAGGAGGGAGTGATCGCATTCAAAATATGCAATTTACACCTACGAATCCTCTTGTTATGAATGGAATGGGCAGGCTCCATTTCATTTGTAATTCAAGGACTACCTACAGTATATTAAATAGAAATATATAGATTATTTTTCAGAATTCAAATAGTTAAATATAAAAAGTTAGAAAACAATCCCTACTGTAATAGAAGAACACCCAATCAGCAGTTCATGCTCTGATACACTGCTAGTGTCCCTACAACTATCCTCCCAGCCATTATGGGACTACAGTTCCTTCACCCTTGAATTGCAGCAGGAATACAACATTTTTATGGAATGCAGATTCCCAATTTTTTAATGACATGCTAAAGACTGCCACTTGGCCTGTAAATTGTGGACTAGGGCCCTTTCTGAAAGGTAGATGCAATCAGGATTGGAGGAATTTTGAGATCCACATATGGCTCTGGAGTACCAGACTGGACACTATTGACAAACTTGAAGGGTTTGAGAATTGGGTTTTCTTTTCCCTCTAACTTTTTAAGAGGGAGGGAACTTCTTTCTCACTCTAAAGGGCAAGGCTAGGACCAATGGGTTCAAGCTACAAGGGAGGAGATTCAGGTTAGGCATAAAAAGGAACAGTGTGAACTATCGGCCAGTAGAACAGGCTCCACATGAAGTGATGAGTTTTTTGCTAGATATTTTCAAACTGAGCAGGGGATGGATTCAATGATTTCTGTAATTATTTTCAACTCTATGCTATGAAATGTTTTCTTCATAGATAATCATGGGGGGAAAAGAATCTGCAAAAATGTGCTGATACTAGAAAGCAATAGAATTTAAGAATATTTTGGCAGTATTTTAGGATGAAACTAGTATTGGAGATTATTTATTTATTTATTTATTTATATACCGCCCTTCTCCCTGAGGACTCAGGGCGGTGTACAGCCAGAATTAAAAAACATAAAATACAAATATTAAAAACAATTAAAATATATATAAATTTGGCCCAAAATTAAAAATACAAACCAATTAAAACATTTAAAATTTCTTCTTAAACCAGCCCGGCTTGCTGGAAAAAGTGGGTTTTAAGGGCACGGCGGAAGGCACTAAGGTCTTGGATTCTCCTTATCTCTGGGGGCAACTGATTCCAGAGGGTAGTGCCCCCACAGAGAAGGCCCTCCCCTGGGGGTCACCAGCCTACATTGATTGGCTGATGGCACCCTGAGGAGGCCCTCTCTGTGGGAGCGCACGGGACGATGGGAGGTCGTCGGTAGCAGCAGGCGGTCTCGAAGATAGCTAGGCCCGATGCCATGGAGCGCTTTAAAGGTGATAACCAGCACCTTGAAGCGCACCCGGAAGACCACTGGGAGCCAGTGCAGCTCGCGCAGGAGCGGTGTTACATGGGAGCGCCATGCTGCTCCCATCACTACCCGCGCTGCTGCATTCTGGACCAGTTGGAGCCTCCGGGTGCTCTTCAAGGGGAGCCCCATGTAGAGAGCGTTGCAGTAGTCAAGGCGAGAGGTGACGAGGGCATGAGTGGCTGTGCACAGGAAATCCCGATCAAGAAAATAAGAATAAATAAATAAATAAATAAAAAATAAACAGCAATTCCAGAAAATCAGAAAAAAAAAAAAAAAAGGAAATCCCGATCAAGAAAGGGCCGCAACTGGCGAATCAGGCGAACCTGACAAAAGGTCCCCCTGGTTACAGCTGTCAGATGTTCCTCCAAGGACAGCTGCATATCCAGGAGGACTCCCAGATTGCGAGCCCTTTCTGTGGGGGCCAAAGACTCGCCCCCAATAGTCAGTGATGGAGTCAACTGACTATATCGGGATGCCGGGAGCCACAGCCACTCAGTCTTGGAAGGGTTGAGCTTGAGCCTGTTCCTCCCCATCCAGATCCGCACAGCCTCCAGGCACTGGGACATCACTTCAAGGGCATCATTGGGGTGGCCTGGGGTGGAGATGTACAGCTGGGTGTCATCAGCGTACTGGTGGTATCTCACCCCAAAGCCACGGATGATCTCGCCCAGCGGCTTTACATAAATGTTGAACAGAAGGGGCGAGAGGACCAATCCCTGCGGCACTCCACAGATGAGAGGCCTCGAGGTTGACCTCTGCCCCCCTGCCAACACAAACTGCGACGGTTGGAGAGAAAGGAGGAGAACCACCGCAACATGGTGCCTCCCACCCCCAACTCTTCCAGCCAGTGCAGCATGATACCATGGTCGATGGTATCAAAAGCCGCTGAGAGATCTAACAGGACCAGAACAGAGGAGCAACCCCTGTCCTGAGTCCTCCAGAGATCATCCACCAACGCGACCAATGCCGTTTCCGTGCTGTGCCCAGACCTGAAACCCGACTGGAACGGATCTAGATAAGATGTTTCCTCCAGGAATTGTGGGAACTGTTGCGCGACCACACTCTCAACAACCTTCGCCATGAAGCGAAGGTTGGAGACAGGACGGTAGTTGGCCAATATTGCCGGATCCAGGGACGGCTTCTTGAGGAGAGGCCTCACCACTGCCTCTTTCAAGGCAGCGGGGAAATGGCCCTCACTCAGCGAAGCGTTGATAACACCCTGGAGCCAGCCTCGTGTAACCTCCCGGGAAGCCAGTACCAACCAGGAGGGACACGGGTCCAGTAAACATGTGGCCACACTAAGTCTCCCCAAAATCCTGTCCACATCATCGGGAGTCACAGCGTCAAATTCCTCCCAGATAACACTCTCAGGACCCACCTCCGTCACCCCATCTGAACCTACCCAGTCAGAGTAAAGGCCTTCCTGAATCTGAGCAATTTTATCATGCAGATATTGGACAAATGAATGATAATGCATGCATCAGTTAACAAAGCATTGGTAGTCCTCCAATTTTTGAAAGATTTATTAATTGATTGCAGATGAAGCAACTTGTTATGACGATGGCAAGATGTATCATGTAGGAGAGAGCAGTGGCAGAAAGAATATCTTGGGGCCATCTGCTCATGTACTTGCTACGGAGGACAACAGGTAGGTATTTCCATTCTATGTCATGTTTTTTGTTTATTTAACCAGACAGTTTTTATAATCTTGTGCTCCTGCTGAAAGCACTTAAAATGACTGCTCTGAATCAATTTAAAAGATGTCAGTTTTAAATTTTAGATATATTTGATTGTGTGTGTGTGTGTGTGTGTGTGTGTGTGTGTAGTAGTAGTAGTAGTAGTAGAAACCAGACAAGTAATTAAATTGATCTGGTACATAAAAATATTCGTATTCACAGAGTGACTATCTTCAAAACAGACCTACAGGTGAAACTCGAAAAATTAGAATATCGTGCAAAAGTTCATTTATTTCAGTAATGCAACTTAAAAGGTGAAACTAATATATGAGATAGACTCATTACATGCAAAGCAAGATAGTTCAAGCCTTGATTTGTCATAATTTTGATGATTATGGCTTATAGCTCATGAAAACCCCAAATTAAACAATCTCAGAAAATTAGAATATTGTGAAAAGGTTCAATATTCTAGGCTCAAAGTGTCCCACTCTAATCAGCTAATTAAGCCATAACACCTGCAAAGGGTTCCTGAGCCTTTAAATGGTCTCTCAGTCTGGTTCAGTGGGAATCACAGTCATGGGAAAGACTGCTGACCTGACAGTTGTGCAGAAAACCATCATTGACACCCTCCATAAGGTGGGAAAGTCTCAAAAGGTAATTGCAAAAGAAGTTGGATGTTCCCAAAGTGCTGTATCAAAGCACATTAATAGAAAGTTATGTGGAAGGGAAAAGTGTGGAAGAAAAAGGTGCACAAGCAGCAGGGATGACCGCAGCCTGGAGCGGATTGTCATGAAAATGCCATTCAAAAGTGTTGGGGACTTTCACAAGGAGTGTACTGAGGCTGGAGTCAGTGCATCAAGAGCCACCACACACAGACGGATCCTGGACATGGGTTTCAAATGTTGTATTCCTTTTGTCAAGCCGCTCCTGAACAACGAACAACGTCAGAAGCGTCTTACCTGGGCTAAAGAAAAAAAGAACTGGTCTGTTGCTCAGTGGTCCAAAGTCCTCTTTTCTGATGAGAGCAACTTTTGCATCTCATTTGGAAACAAGGACCCAGAATCTGGAGGAAGAATGGAGAGGCACACACTGCAAGATGCTTGAAATCCAGTGTGAAGTTTCCACAGTCTGTGTTGATTTGGGGAGCCATGTCATCTGCTGGTGTTGGTCCACTGTGCTTCATTAAGTCCAGGGTCAACGGGTCTACCAGGAGATTTTGGAGCACTTCATGCTTCCTTCCGCAGACGAGCTTTATGGGGATGCTGACTTCGTTTTGCAGCAGGACTTGGCACCTGCCCACACTGCCAAAAGTACCAAAACCTGGTTCAATGACCATGGGATTACTGTGGTTGATTGGCCAGCAAACTCGCCTGACCTGAACCCCATAGAGAATCTTTGGGGCATTGCCAAGAGAAAGATGAGAGACATGAGACCGAACAATGCAGAAGAGCTGAAGGCTGCTATTGAAGCATCCTGGTCTTCCATAACACCTCAGCAGTGCCACAGGCTGATAGCATCCATGCCACGCCGCATTGAGGCAGTAATTGATGCAAAAGGGGCCCAAACCAAGTGTAAGCATATGCATGCTTACACTTTTCAGAGGTCCGATATTGTTCTATGTACAATCCTTGTTTTATTGATTTCATGTAATATTCTAATTTTCTGAGATTGTGAATTTGGGGTTTTCATGAGCTGTAAACCATAATCATCAAAATTATGACAAATCAAGGCTTGAACTATCTCGCTTTGAATGTAATGAGTCTATCTCATATATTAGTTTCACCTTTTAAGTTGCATTACTGAAATAAATGAACTTTTGCACGATATTCTAATTTTTCGAGTTTCACCTGTATGAGAAGTGGTAAATCAGATAAAATTATCAAGTGATAATGGAAAAAATAAAAAGTATGTTATTTTATAAGATATGTATATACATAAAACCTCCATTATTTTTATAAATTGTTATTTGCAGCAACGTGTAATAAGAACAGCCCATAAAACATATTTGAGTGGGCAGCTATAAAAACTTTAAATTAAATCTGCTTATCTTGGAGTTGTTGAAATTATATTATTTCCATAATCCATTGTATAGCCACTTCCTTTAAATCTGGACATGAAAGCGGGTTACTTTCTGTTCCTCAAATGAGGAAAAAAGTGAGTCAAAAGGTTGACTCAGCCTTCCATCCTTTCTAAGGTAGGTAAATTGAGGACCCAATTTGTGGGGGCAATAAACTGACTTTGTATAAATATATAAAAGTATGAAGGCTATTGCTTAACGCATTGTAAGCCGCCCTGAGCCCCGGAGAAGGGCGGCATATAAATCAAATTTTTAAAAAAATGCTTTTTTATTATTATTATTATTATTTATTAGATTTCTATACCGCCCTACTCCCGAAGGACTCAGGGCGGTGCACAGCCAAACAATAAAAACACATACAATACAAAATTTAAAAAATAGAATAAAATCAAATTAAATAATTTTGGCCCCGACAAATTTAAAACCCCAAACTTTTAAAACCAATTTAAAATTGAATATATAAATACTAAAAAATATTTAAAATTTTAAAAATCTTTTATAAAAGAGGGGGAAAATTAGGCCAGGCCGGCCTGGTGAAATAGTAAGGTCTTTAAGGCCTTGAAATTTTTACCAAGCATACTAGCCCAAAGACCCAGGTCAAAAAGGAGGTGAAGTCCAACAACATTTGAAAATACCCTCAAGAACATTCAGGTTTTGATTTTTTAAAAAATTTGTACAGGGCTGGCGTTGTGACAATTGCCGTAGACCTGGTGCATCTGATGGTTCTCCTAGTCAAACCTATTCACAGAGAGAGCAACAAAGCATAAACACCGTAAGTGAACATTTGCCTTCTACAGGTTCATTTGTGGCTCTTAAATTTTAATCAATACTAAGAATAAAGTATTTTTCTACTAATTGGATTTTATGATTCTGCAGGCACTATGTTTGCATATTTTGTCCTTGGATGATGAGTGAATATCTTACTGTGTGTTTTTTTCTCACAATTTCACCCATTTGCCTTCTGTGAAATGGGAATGTTTTACTGTATAAGAATAAATATGAAATTCTGCCTTTGGTGCTCAGAGTCCCTTTGCCTTATCCATTGCCAAAATACTGGAGCATATATTCTAAAGCAAATTTCACAGCTTCCTAACATGATTTATAGCAGGAGTGTCAAACTCAAGGCCCGTGGGCCAGATCCAGCCTAAGGGTACTTAGAGCTGGCTTGCGGGGCGGCCCTGTAATCCGTGAAGGACCAGCCCGTGGTGCCTCTACCAGTGAAAATGGAGCTCGGAAGGGCCACATGCATACATACATACATATATATAGTTAAAAGATGTCATAGACATCTATATCAGATGCCCAAAAAAGCTTTAGGCTTCTCTTAAACAACATCTTGCTATTATGAGCCTGCCAAATGTATTATCTAGTATATCGGAGAGAGCTATCCATAATCAGAAATAGTATAGGTCAATCTCAACTTAAGATTCATTTAGTGACCAAAAACAGCACTGAAAAAACTGACTTATGGTGATCCTTGCACTTATGACAGCACCCATATGGTGACATGATCAAAATTCAGGCACTCTACAGCATCCAAAGCCATGTGATCGCCACTTGCAATTTTCTCAGCTAGCTTCCAACAAGCAAAGTCAGTACAGAAGTCAGATTTGCTTAATGGCCACATAATTCACTTAACTGCAGTGATTCTCTTAACAACGTTAGTAAAAAAAAAGTTCATAAAATCGGGCACAATTCATTCTCCCACTTTGCAGAAATTCTGGTCCCAATTTTGGTGGTAAGACTATCCTGTACTGAGATTATACAAACGGATCTTTCAGTTTTGATTGACAGAGAAAAAAGAAACATAAAACACCACCCTGTCCTTTTATTGTGTGTAATATTTGTTTCAAAAGTGCCGCCTTGTGCTCAAAATAAAAAATTAAAATGCAACCTCTATCAAAATATCAAGATATGAAAATATTCGCTTGTTAAAGATACATCACAAATATATGCATGTTGATATTTAACAGCACACACTACAAATGTAAATGCTTTTAACATCTAGAAGTGTAGAAAATTATCCTACTTACCAGGATGCATAGAGCCTCATTGACATCTGTCCTAACAACTATAGGATACCAGAAAAACAAAACATTAACCTGGCCTCATGATGCAAAATGTGCCCTTTTAAATTTGCATTACATTACACACACACACACACACACACACACACACACACACAGAGGACAGAGTTTGCAGCACAATACACATTTCATCATTTGCCCCCACTTCCCCCATACCTATGATACCATCCATAATTCTCTAAAGCTATGTATTTAGTCATTTACTTCTTTACCAAAGTTGATTTCTAATCAAATATTTTCTTAAAGATATAATTTATAAAGTCCTATTAAATTACAGATTAGTATTATATTCTGAAAAAGAATATAATACTAATTGCACATTTTAACAATCCAATGAAAAAAGCAAAAGCAAGCCCATCTGAGAAAGATTTTTCCATGCTTTCAACTATTCAATGGAAGCTGTATTTTTGGCATTTCTCACCAGTCCTTCTTGTGATTAAACATGCTCCAAATTTCAGACATTTATCTTAATACCATGCAATTACAGTACAAGTAGTACACAATAAGAATAAATGCATTCAAAATAAAACCTTAAATCCTAATTCTTGTGGGTTTTTTCATTATTTCCTATTAATTTACTCACATAGAAATATTTTGCAAGAGGTACTTGCACTTTAATTAAAACTCTGTGAAGATTGTTTAACATTTTTCTTTTTTGAAATCCAATATTGAAAATAAGATGAGGATAGTATCTAAACAGTAAAAATATAGCCTTATTCAGGCCTGAATGTATAAAGCAATCTAAGCATTTGATCTGGCTTTCTCTAGCCTGTCTATCTTTTATTTAAAACAACTTGCTGAGTGGGCCAATTTTTACATTTCCCAAACTATGTTTTTATGTACGCTTTGCCAATTTGTGCAAAAACAAGGGGAACATATCAGCACCTATCAATTGCGTTGTTAAGTTCCCAGTTCTTTCAGATTTCTTCCCACCAATTTATCTGAAAAACAAGTATTTGCAAACACGGGTAGCCTCATTTCTTATGTCCTTTCATTTTTCATGAAGTGTTTTCAAAAGACTTCAATCAACCTTAATGGTGCATTTTTAGTTAAGGAAACAGAATGGAAGAGAAGTCAATTTAATCCCTGATGAACAAGTGTCTACTGAATGTGGAGGAGGGAGAACCATAAATGGGTTTAGCAAACACAGCCAAGATAAGCAATATGCCGTGAGCAGAGCACTCAGGGAACCAGGCATACAATAGAAGCCGTAAAATACTGCAGAGCCTTTTTAAACTACAGACAATTGGAACAATAGGCTGAGCCTAGACATCTGTGTTAAACTGTGAGGAGAAAGGTGAAAAGGAAGCTGCAGTTCTGTAAAAGGGGGCTTAAAACAGAATAGAGGGTCTTAAAGCAGAATCAAATAAACGTGGGGTAGTTGACTGGGCTAGAAATCAAAATTGGCATATTTTGTAGTTTAATTCATTTTGTAAGGAATTGTCTCCTTTTAAAAAAAGAGATAAAGGCACCATTTCAAGTGGTTGCTTTATCCTTTCTCTGGAATAAATAACCCTATTTTTATAGCCACCATTTCCTCCTGTGGTGCTTCCTAGAATTATTAGGCAATGTTGCTTTTGCAAAAATGAAATTGTTTAGCAATATAAGCATGCTGGGTGGTGACATTGCCCAAAGGATAATGACATAAGCAGTAAAAGGCTAAAGGCAAAGGACATGGTCCAGACTGCACTTCTATTTCACTGAAACTGGCTCAGGAGATCTCCTCTCTTCCTGTGTTCAGTTGATGAAACCTCTCTGCAACAACTCAAGCTTTGTTACCGGGAGCAATACTTAAATACTAAAGGGGTAGTGGGAATGTTTCAACCATTAGGTAAAATGAGACTGTCACCTCATGAAGCAAATTTTGAGATGTGTCTGAGAGGGAATAACTGATCCATTTGGCTCTTCCATATGGCCTGAAAGTTGGGATATCATTTTATTTACCAAAGACAACAGATGTGGGCTTCCTCTAAAAACCAAGTTCCAAAATATCTGATGGGACATCTTCCTGATACAGGCTTTCATTCTGTGGAATTTACTTTTAAAAACACTAAATATGTCCCATGGCTTTTCAAAAGTCAACATAGATGCAATGTGGCAACCATGTTTATTGTTGTTTATGGAGAGCCAGCCTTACCATTAGATAAACCAAGTCAGCTGTCTTAGCAGGTTTTTATTCTTGTCTTGATTTTATGTATTTGCTGCCAAGTAAGGGGAAAGAGCCAATTGTGACATTTACTGCCTCAGCTGCCAAAACAACTTGCTTGGTCTTGGATATTATATACCATGACTTTGCGAGGAGGGGCTCCATTAGCTGCTGTGCATCAAGCAACAAAACCCTGAGTTAGCCCTTGATGCCTATAGCAAAGGCTGAAGAAGACCTGATTTTAAGAAGACCTGAAAAAAAGAGTGTAGTAGTGCAGCATAAATGTAATTCTCACTTAGCCTGCAAGGACAATATAAATACAGACATATAGCTTGACTAGTGTCAGAAGCAAGGGCTGTGAGGAAGTAGCATGTGCATTCTCCTTTGCCTGCATAAATATAACAATACCAATTGATAAACAATTATGGGTTTCAAGTAATGATGGTGGGGAGGGTGATAAACCTGTCAACATATTGGTGGCTTTATCCTGTTCTACAACTGTCTTGGTAGTTGTACTGTATTATCATTTGTTAGGAAAAATTTGAGATTATCAAAAAATTTTATGTACTTCCCCTTTTGCTTTCATTCTTTGGACTGTATTTTTTACATGAATAGGGAGTATGTATACAGCTACCCCAATCAGCCCCCAGATTAATTTTTCTTTTGCTGAGTAGAATAGTAAGAATATTTTGTCCAACGTGTCTGGAGGACACTGTTCTGCTTATGTATTTTAACTAGCACTGAAATTATTTTAAATTTGCTACTTTGGTATTTTTTTGCTTGTTCTTCCATGCTGTATGGATATAAAAATTGAAAGCAAACTGAAAAAAATACATTATTTAATTAAACAGTCTCATTTAAAAAAAAACCCACTTTATTTCATGCTGCTTTACTAAGTTTACTATTTTGCTACGTGGTACTGTACATTGCAGAACATGAAACTTCTTCTCTTGCATTATTGATGGTGGTGATGATGTATTAAACTTACTGGACTTGAGACTGTCATTTCACAAGACTATCCTACATGTAACAGCATATATTTTACAATAGTGACTTCATATGTCCTTGACTGGAACCTGAATGACTGGAGTCAACATCTAATCAATCGGACGAGCATATCTAGATTATCATCATCATCATCATCATCATCATCATCATCATCATCAGTGCAATACCTGGATAGTGTCTTCATCTCCATTTTGACTTTTATTCATTTATTTTTGCAAATTTATTTAGTTGTCCAAACAGTATGTCAGCTCAGCCACTATTTTCTTGTTTACATGGTACTGCAATTATTTTTATTCTACCTGACATAGGGAGTTAGCCCTCTCCACTGGCTTAATGCAAAGATAAAGTACATGAGGATCGGTAAGGAGAGCATTAAAGTGCACAAATACAGCCCTCATTATTCTTTTAATGTATATGTCGGCAAGACAAGGAATTAAAAGCGAAAATCAATGTAACTCCAAAAGAACATCTGATTCACGTCTACAGAAAGCATGTTTCCTATCTTTATCCTGTGTGATCCGTAAAGAAGGATTTTCTCTGAAACAATTAATTTGGTGGCCCAAACCATTTTTAAATCTAAGGAGATTTAAAGAAGGGGGACAGAATAAAATAAAACCGCTCATCTTCTTGGTGTCCTTGTAGGCAACCTGATTGCAAGATAATTCCATCACATGCCTGTTATGCCAACTGCAATGTGGCACTGTATGTAATTGGATTGTAAAGACAAATGGAAGATGCAAGAAATCTCTACAACCTTCTTTACACTGATTTAATG